CAAAAAAAATAAAAAAAAAAAAAATAAAAAAAAAAAAAAAAAGAAAAAATAAAAAAAAAAAATAAAAATATAATAAAAAAACATATAAACATTAATCTCTGGCTGAGAAGTGGGTGGGGGTGGGGGGGGGGGGGGGGGGGGGGGGGGGGGGGGGGGGGGGCATTGAAGACCTAGGGTAATGTGGGGAATATGGAGATTTTATGGGGACTTTACAGCAAATGGGAGTCCTTTGTCCTTTGAGGAGGGGGTAAGTGGGGACTTGCAACCCAACTCTACCTTACTCCTGAAAAAAATGCAGGGACGTCTAGCAAAGTGAGAGACTGGGAACAAGTTGTATTTTAGCTTGATCGAGGCCGGGTCTAAAGTACAGGTCACGTTCCACAGATCAAGAGTACAGGTCACTGCTCCATTGTTACCAAACCATACAGATTCCCCTCAATCTAACAGAGCATTTTGTAAAGAGATTAGGGCTAGGAGACACTTTAAATGCTATTCATTTATCTGTATCATGGTGACTTGTACTCTGACCTGTGGAAAAGTGACCTGTATTTTAGACCCACCGGCATCCACCCCTGAAGACTTCCATCAAATATGGGTTTACCCTTAGAGAGTATGGGTCTACACCTGAAAAATTTCATGAAAATTAAAACTCCACCCCCAAACAATTCCATCCTATAGAGTACTAAAGTGATGGCATCATAAAAATGAAATTTCTGAAATTATGGGATTTGTCAGGATATTCTGAAAGAACAATGTCCAAGAGGCCTACTTAAAAAAATGAGCATTTTGCGGCAAATTGTCTTTGAGATCGTAGCCCAGTTATACTCAGAAAACTCCATACAAACCCTTCTAATTTTTTTTTGGGTCGACCCCAAAAAAATTTAGAAGAGTTTGTATGGAGTTTTGTAAGCATAACTGGGCTACGATCTCAGAGACAATTTGCCGCAAAATGCTCATTTTTTTAAGTAGGCCTCTTGGACATTGTTCTTTCAGAATATCCTGACAAATCCCATAATTTCAGAAATTTCATTTTTATGACATCACACTTTAGTACTCTATTTTACTCTACCCCTAAAGGAATCCTCAGTTTTTATGACTTACCCCTGAAGAATTCCATGGTTCTTCAACTGGGCGGGGTGGGGGGGGAAGAACTGTAATATCCCTTAATCCCTTAAGAAAAACTGCCCCTAGCCATGCTAACAAAGCCCTGTAACCCACATTGGTAGGGCAAGGGGACTGTCGGGCAAGGAAATGTAAACCATTCTGCGAGGATTTCTCCTCTTTAGAGCTATCCAATTAGGCATATTTTTAAGTGAAATATTGAAAAAGTAACGACGTTAACCGCTTATAGAAGAATTGACAAATTCCCCACCGCCAGGACCGACAAGATGAAATGACAAATGCCCCGGGTGGGCATGGGCACGCTTGGAAAGAACTAACTAGGTCAACTAGCTAAGCTGCTGTAACAATAAGCTTAAAAAAAATTAAATTCGTAAAAATAAAAGTTTAAGTTTATATATGTCAAACAGCAAAAAATGCGAATGAACAAAACCTGCTTCGTTCCGTTAATTTTGTCCACCACAAGCCGTGAGCGCGTGACGTGTCGAGTAAGAGAGCCTGCAACTTGATCAGTGGATGTTCATTTGAACGTGTATGTACTCGATGTACGTAGGACAAGTATTATTGAATCAACATGGCGGCTTACCAGGATGTTGTTGCACCTCATCAAGACTGGCCCGTAAGTTCTGTTTCATGCTGTGGTTAAAATTCTGTTACGATTTATGCTTCTGAAGCTAATAAATGTAATATCTAAAATGTGTCAGGGTCGTACAACGTAAACATCGATAAAGGAATGTCACTCTCGAAGCTGTCGATATGTCCAGACACAAACGTAATTCTGCCCTGCTCCATACCTTTAAATGAAATATCTTGTTTTCCATCATCCTTTGAATGTCACCTGATGTTTTTCTTTTCTTTTCTTGGGGCTGAACAATGTTTGAGGCTTAATATATAATGTCTTCATAAGACGAACTATGCGGAAGCTTGGCGTAAATTCCTCGTGACGTCTGCTCCCAAGAAAGTTACGCTAATGTATTCAAGTTCTTTATTTGCCAATGAACTTTTCACCTTACAGGCAACTGTCATGGCTGTGGATTGTACGGGCCAGTTTACTGTGCTAGGATCGTAAGTGACTGTGATGATTTTACTTATATACTTATACACCCCCAACAGCCAGCTGTGAACCTGTAAAACAAAATCCAGCTTGTCCAGCATTTTACATTAGGCCTAAAACTTAAGATATCCTCAAATTTTTCAAAGGCAGTTAAGCTTTAGCTTTACTGTCACTTCACAGCAAATACCATCAGTTGCATCTAAGCGTGGACGTTGGTTAAGTTGTTTACATGTTTTTGATCAGCATGTTCCACTCACCTTTTATTTTTCTCAATTTTCAGTAACATTTTTCACCTCAGAAACAGCATAAAAAACAAATCAATTCAACAAACAGCTGCCTAATCTGCACGTGAACATTCGTCCATTGACACCCAAAACTTCCACAGTTTGGTGGCGAAACATGTCCTGTTTTCACCCAATAATTAGAACGCATTTTTCCGTCATGTGTACACACTTAGATGCAACCAATGGTATTTGTATTTGTAACTGAAACAAAACAATGATTTGCTTCCAAAATCAAGGCCCTCTAGACTAGTGGGTTTCAATGCTGATCATAGCTATTTCTTTTCACAGGAGGAAGGGACTAGCATTTGTAGACTTGAATGCTCCAAATGTAATCACCAAAAAAGTAACAAGGAACAGCAAATGGGAATGTGGAGCAATAGAGTGGAACCCTCACCTTTCGCATGCAAATATCTTTGCCAATGTGGTTAGTATTTTTGCCTAGAACTTCCTCATGGATTCATATTGTTTTGACCACTATAATTTTGTACTTGAAAGTAAGTAGCATACCCACCTACCCACCTGCCTACCTTTTTTTGCAGTCAAACCAAAAGACAGAGATTTGGTCCTGGAGAGATGGCAATGGTTTACAGCAACAAATTCTCAGAGGTCACACAAGATCAATAAGGTAATTGTGCATACCCACTTTTCATTTATGAGTGCAGAAAAAAAAGTGTTTATCATTTTCAGGGCTGTCACTCTTTTTTGAAAATAGCTGGGAAATTGAAAATAGTAGTGGGGAATTTGAACTTTCCTTCTAGTCAGTGTATTGAAATTCTACAAAATGAAGTTAGCGCTTAGGCATTAAGGACATCCTGCTTTAAATAGAAATGGTACAAATGTCTTACAATCATTAAAAATTTCCTTATACGTGGCTTAACGTAATTTAGGCAAAGTTAACCTCAAAGCAATGCTGGTCAGCAGTCTTTCAAACTATGCTGAGGGTGGCCCAATGCCTCCAGCAGGGGCACCTTGTGACTTGTATACATAATTGCTGGCTTGCAGTTCTTTGTAAAGTATTGGTGATGAGTTTAACTAAGGATCTGAATTTTCTTGGTCTGCTAAATTTTTCCCCTTTGTTCAATTTTTTTTTCATTGTTATATTATTAAAAAAAAGTATGGTTATTCAGCAACATTATTATCCTCTAGGATATCCTCAGTCATTTGACCTTTTGTATGTTGCTGCTTTTTTCCTTTCTTTGTTTTCAGTGATCTCAACTGGTCCTGGTTTGACCCTCACCTTCTCTCCACCTGTTCAATGGATCAGTTCATCTACATATGGGACTTGAGGTCAGAGGGAGGTGTAGATAATAGCAAAGGCAGCAGAACGGGGGCACAGGGGGGTCCATAGCCCCCCCAAACAACTCAGTGGGGTGTCATATAGCTTTCTTCCAAAATCACTAAAAGCAGAGTGACTACTAAAGTGTGATAGACATGTTACTTTATGTTAGCTATCCTTCTAAACCTAAGCACTCTCCAAACAGACTTATAATCCTGGGAGGGTGTAATCCCATATAAAAGTGACAGGGATGCTTGTCTGAAAATTAAAATACATTATTATTGAACCTTGAAGGCGAGATCAATGTGGGTGTGGCTCAAGCTTAAACTGACCCTTAAAGGAGTCCATACTAAAACGGACACTGCATTTTTAAGAAATTTCTTCATGTACAGCCCTAATTGATAACTGAATGGGCAAATATAGTGACTTTCTGTTCTAAACACCCTAATCGAGACCAAAATCTGCAATTCACATTCCAAAGTGAGATGAGGAGTATCCCTCCCCCCCTCCTCGGGTTCATATTCTCAGATAGGCTAATTTTGGAACAATAATTGTCACATCAAAGATGTACTGGTGTCTGTTGGGTGGACACAGTAAGGCTTGTTACACTACAAGGATTATTCCTCATTCATTTGTGAACAACTTACTCTGAAGCAATCGTCATCAAGTATTTATTTTGTAACGTTTGTTTGATTTGTGCAATTCAGTACTGCTAATATTAAGCTGGTTTTCACCATTTTATGGTCAGTTTGCAAGCAAAGATCTTATGGTACTTTCTTATCCAGGTGAAATATTTAAATTTAGCTTTTCCTTTTCATACTATTTTTAGAGATAGAAAGAAGCCAGCTAGTTCATTGCAAGCCATTGGTAAGTATTTATTGTTCTATTTCTCTTACACAGGTGTTACAGGTCAAAATTTAATTTCAGGGCCAAGTTGTTCAAAGCTGGGTTAAGATAACCCAGGGTTAGTGCGAGATTTGAATTTAGATTTGAAAGCTCAGAAAGCATTTCAGTTTTAATTCTTTTTGTCTACAAGTTGATGATTGGAAGCTCTAAAAATAGCACAGAAAATTATCCGAGAAAATGCTTTTGAACACAAGAAAAATAAACCCATGTACTTAAATTTAACCCTTGGTTAAGCGCTAATTGGCCTCCAAACAACTGGGCCCAGGTTAAAATTTTTTAACCTAGTTTCATTCTGAATTTCCTTTGTCTCCTAGCCCTAAATATTATTTATAATTTAGGGCTAGAAGACAAGGGAATTTAAGAATCAACCTAGGTTAAAAAATTTCAACCTGAATTTAATTTTAACCTGTAACACAGACATCAGTCCCCTATACAGATCGATCAATTTACTTTTGAGGGGGCTATGTCAAGAGGATAAGTTTCAATCCATGTCCATCCTTGTCATCCGTTGCAACAGATGACAGGAAACAGTTTAGAAACACCCTAAATATAGTCTTAAATGACAAAATTGGACCTTTATTTTTGGAATTCAATTGATATGAAAAAAGTTAAATAGCCTTGTAGAAGAGTAGCAAATAGGGTGTCATAGCCCTTTACAGGGATGTAGCTTAAATTTATAACAGACGAGAAGTGGCATTTGATGGGCAGGTAATATGAGAAGAAAACAGTTGCCTTTTTCAAGACTGCAATTTTAATCAGCCAGAAAAAAATATTATTTTGAGAACCGGGTATTTTCCCTGGCTCCTGGCTATTATCGACATCCCTGCCTTTAAGTGCCTTAATTTTACACTGCCTTTTTATGGAAGCTCACTATTCCAATGTGCAATTTTTTGTGACTAGATAAACAGATCTGTGCTTGTCTCAAATACAGTGTACTTGGAAGCTGAATGTATTAGTGCTGAACTCATGGTGCTAGCAGTAACTTTTGCTGGGCATAACTATTTCCTAGTTTCTGTTAAAATAATATTGTTCTGATTCTTAATAGAGTTTAATACATAGACTTAAGTAAACACATTTTTTTGGTTGTTTCTAAATATTCAGAGCTTTCATTAAGTTTTGAAGCCGCTGTAGCAAATGAAGATTCACCCGTAACATCTCACAAAAATTTACAGTGTCATCTTAAGCTTTCCACTTTGATCACCTGTAACATCAAGTGAGATGACGTCCATAACAGGTGTTTTTTATTATTATAGTTGGTGCCTCACAGGTTAAGTGGAACAGAGTAAATCGTCATGTGCTTGCTACCAGCCACGATGGTGACGTTAGAATCTGGGATCTCAGGGTCTGTATCGCATGTATCAGGTGTTACATCTGACTTCATTGTTTCTGTAACAACCTTTCATAAATGAAACACAGGCTTTTGTAAGTTATTTGATGTTTCCTGTTGTTAACAGAAAGGTAACACCCCAGTGGTGTACATCACAGCTCACTTATCAAAGATCCATGGCCTGGACTGGTCGCGTTCTTGTGGTACAACTCTAGTGACATGCAGCAATGATGCTACTGTAAAGGTGAGCCTAAACTAGTGTTCTCCAGAAAATCTGAAGAGGACGGAGAAATCATTGACGGCAATAGATACCCAGACACGCGAGTGCCTTTCAATCATAGGTAAGGAAATCGGAATTGCTCCCTCCTCCACTGGCAGAGTCTGGGTTCCTTCTGGGGTGGCCTGTGCCACAGATGGAACTTAACTTCTGGTTATGTCTGAGTGCGAAACAGCTATGAGATCCTCGTTCTGGGCCCCCAACTGAGTACCAGGATTTGAGCATACACCATGATTGACCTGTTAAAAAAGGCACTGTCATTTTGCCAGTCAGGTTGAAGGGAAGTTCGAAACACACTTCCAGTAATTTGTTGAGTCCACAGGGGACCCACAACAAGGATATCGGTAATACTTCACAGACGTTACTAACTGGGGTTAGATTATGTATGCAACGTAGGCTACTTCTGGGGTTAAGCTGTAATTTTGGGATCCCAGGAAATTGTATTTCAGTGCATTTTATGCAACCAGGATAAGGACTTGAGCCTTAAGATTTGTATCTTTTTTTACCCAAATTTGCTTTGTTTCACCCACCAAAGCACTGAGTAGTTCAACTTTACTTTGTTTAATAAAAACCATTCTTCTGGTCGCAATGTTTTTGTTTTTGTCCTGTATTTCTTTTAGTTGTGGAATACTGAACAGCCTCAACAACCAGAGAATACGTTGAATGCAAAATGTCCGGTTTGGAGGGCACGATTCACTGTAAGTTTCCTTTTATATTTCTTGCTGTCAGAGTAATATTTAATGAATTTTAAATTCTTAAAAGAAAAAAAAATTAAGGAAGTAATGATTCTAGGGAGGTTACAAAAACCACAACTGTGATGTGAACATCACAGCAATTAATAGGTTTATGACTAGAAATTCATTTCTCGCAAACTGAGAAACTGTAAAGTCCTACAGTTCTTAGCCCACTGTTCATTTACTTTGCAGCCATTTGGCGAAGGCCTTGTTACAGTGACTGTACCTCAGCTGAGACGAGGAGAGAACAGCTTGTCATTATGGAATATTCTAAACATGAACTCACCCATTGCATCCCCTGTTAACACATTTGTTGGTCATAGTGATGTCGTGTTAGAATTCCAGTGGAGATCTCAAAGGCTGGATGGTGAGCGCTTCAGCAATTCATTAACACATGGGTGGTCAACAATTTGCGAACTGGCTGGAAGCCCGTTGTTACGTCGTGCTCATACTAAAAACGTTAATGATTCTCTGATCAAATCGAACCTCATTAATAAAGACACCAAAGGCACCGAGCTACCGTATTTATTCGAATAAGCGCCCAACCTCGAATTAGCGCCCACCTCGGATAAGCGCCCATCCTAAAGGCAGAAAAAGTTAATAAGCGCCCAATCCCACCCCACCCCCTTTCCCCTCACACCCTCCAAAAATTGAATAAGTACTGGTGAGAGACTTCCCCGAAGACGGAGTTTTCTTCAGAGTATTTTACAGAAACCTTGCTTTGTTACATCTTCGCGTTTTGTTTTTACTATTTATTGTTTTGTTGCAAAATAAACGTACTACACTTACTGAAAATGTTGAAAATTTAATAAACGCCTAGCCTCGAATAAGCGCCCACTTTCAAGGTCCAAAAAGTTAATAAGCGCCCAGAGCGGTTAATCGAATAAATACGGTACTTGTCTTCATTGTAGCGGTAGGAATTTATGAAGTTTTCGTCCTGTTTTCTGTTGAGTCTACAGAAGCCTTAGCTTTTTACTTTTCCGTGTCATATATTATCTTATTCTTCATGATAAATCGTATTTCGCACACCTGCTCAAGGCCACGCCACTAAAGATTGCTAACTTCAGTTGCTTCCAATTTGACAACTAATATTTTCTCGTTTATTCAGGCAATAACTTGACCCTTTAATTTGTTTATCAGATGATGAACAGTTTCAACTCATTACCTGGGCCAAGGATCATTTTCTTAGACTGTGGGCAATTGAACCGAGAATGATCATGGTAAGTATTAAAAACAGTTTCACGGGATAGTTCACCCATTTTCAGAATCGGGATTAAATGCCCAGTTTCTTCTTAAGGGCTATTGAAAATCTCTTCTTCTTTTGTTTGGGCTTGTACTCTGCAGGGTAGCAGGGTTTTTTTGCAACAATTTGCACGAATTCAATCAGATTTCATTAGTGTGCAACTTGTTGCGGCGACAAAATTCTGTTGCGGAGACAAAGATTTTCACAAAAATTCTCCAGTACGCACGAGGCGATTTGTCGCTGCGACTTCTCGCCGCGACGTGTTGCTGCAACATGTCGCCTTGTGTGTTCCGACCTTCAGAGGCCGAAGCCGCTAGAAAAAACGCTTGACCGAAACCAGAAATCGCGCATGAAGAGTCTCTGGCACCCAGGGTATTAATAACGAGTTAAATATTTTCTAATTCAGATGAAGCAATAACTAATACTTTTCCTTTACCTACAGGCGTGTAGTGGAGATGCCACAGATAATTTTCCATCCCGCAACACAAGCGAAACAACTCTGGCCATATCTGATGACTTGATGGAATCAGTTCTTTCAGAGTCCGTGATTATTGATTCAGCCGATGTTGTTCCTAGTGTCGCGGTCCAGCCGCACACTCTACAACAGGAATTTGCGCTTATAAATGTCAACATTCCTAACGTCATTGTTGAGCAGGTAAATGCTTTCTTCTTCTCTCTCACTGTCTATTTAGGGTTTTAAAGTAATTGCCAGACCTATCAACGCCTGAGAAAACAGCTGATATCTGGCGAGGCCACCACTGGTTTCCCCGCGAAATGACGTCTGACGAATGAGCGCAGAAATTCCATTCTGATGACGCGTCACTACCCAGATCTGGGTGGTGCTTCTGATTGGTCGTGCCACGAGGGAAATTTGCTTTAACCAATCAGAAGTACTACTTAGATCTTGGTAGTGACGCTTCATCAGTATGGGATTTCTGCGCTCTTTGCTCTGACATCATTTCGCGGGGAAACTAGTGGTGGCGCCGCGTGTGAGTGTCGATTGTATACCCTTCAAAAGAGCTTTTACAAAATATAATATCCTGAAAGTTTGTGGCTTGCGCTGGTAGACATCTTTCCCGCCTTAGTTTTTTTCCGCGAAGAAAGGACTCTTTTATGATGGGAGAAAAATGGCGTCTTCTCGTTCAGGGTTGGTTAATGGAAGACAGAGCACTTTATTTGAATGTCAATGTATTTAGAAAGAAAGTGCTAAGTAAGGACATTATTTTTACGCGGGGCCGCCACTTTAAGAACCACGCAAAGGTCTATCCGTTTGCAAGGCAAAGAAAGTACCTTCATTTCTGAGTTATTTTAAGACCCCGAGTATTGGTCCGGCACTGAGAATCGAACCCACGACACCAGGCTCTGCAGTCAAGCGCCTTACGGACTGATCTAATCCTGCCGCGTCTTACTGTTATCAACTGAATTAAGTTAATAAGTCGTATTTACCGTAGTCAAAGGATTCACGAGTTGGCGTTTTGAGTACTAGCCCTTCGTGAGAGCAAATCAAAACTAGAGCTAGTTTGTTTTGTAAGTTCAAAGAGAAAGGAACCGAGGATTGATTTAACAATTGAACGTTGACTGTAACGTATTTACTATTGTAATATATTCTCACCCGGGAACACCCGGACATAAAGCCAAATGAGCCTAAATGCATTAGATATGGGAGAATCAGCCCGAGGCTTTGCGAGCCGGTGAACCAGGAGAGAATACGAGGTATGTCCATCGCTGCGGGGAGAAGGGTGGGGCGAGAACTGCTACAGAGGGTGGCGAGACATAAACTTTCATAGAACTGGCTGAATAATCAAGCAGGCTGCTCTTTAAACTGAGGAACAAGGTCTGCGGGTATGCCGTGTATTCTCCCGGGCCACGCTGAAAATGTTTGCGTTGAAGCAAATTTAAGCTCTTGTGCGTGTTTTCCCCAGTGAGAATAGTGCTTTGTTTCCAGATGGATGCGGGCCACAGGAGCTGTACCGTGTGTGCTACTAATGGACCCAATGTTGTGTCCCTGGTTATTACGTTCCCTGCTCAGTATCCCAACCAGGCCATCCCCTCGTTTGAGTTCACATCAGACACCTCCATTGACAAGAATACAAAGATCAAACTCATGAAGGTAAGATTGAGTGAAAACCTAGCGTTGAATTAATTTCTAAATTGCATCCAGGGGAAATTTGTCTCACTCGTTTTCCTTTCTTTGTGTCAGACTTTACGTGAAACAGCTCAAACACATGTGAAGTTGAACCAGACGTGTCTTGAGCCCTGCCTTAGGCAGTTAGTCAGCCATCTTGAAGAACTGACGGTGAGTAAGAACTTGTTCTCAATTTTTGATGGCTGATGTTTTTAACGGCCAATTGTCCCTTCCACAAGAGTGAACGATTAATAGAGGTGCTATCGCTTATAAGTCGATCTGTTTTAAGGGATTTATTGACAATTTTGTGCCTCGGAACGCTGGTAACTAGCCGCTATGTAGCCGGAGGGTGGCCGCTTAATAGCTCGATGTTTTGTTGAATTGCCCTATGGGGGATGGGGCTGTTTTGGGGCACTTATTTTGACCCCAGTCTTGTGCGCAACTTTGTAATAGCCAATGAAAAAAGTCAAAGCGTCCTCAAATCAGTCCCATAGTGCGTTGCGACTCAACATTGACCTAGTCTGGCGCCCAACTTCAAATACCGTAAACTTAAGTTAAAAAAGCGAATGAATTCTAAACGTATTTTAATCAGCACTGCTATGTTGCTTGTTTTGAAATGCTTTTTTAGTCTGGTTATAAGCTCTCCTAACTGGCTCTTTACCAAGTTGTTTAACCGTTTAAGCCCCGATATCCACGTATAAATTCTCCATACTGACCTTCATACATTTCCTTAAAAAAAAATTTTTGAGAGAGTTTGATAACAGATCAAAGCATTTTTTCCTTTGGTGATCATTTTATTAACTCTCACAATCATTTCTCTTGGCAACATATGGATATTTTTAGGAGAAAATTGATGTTGGTCACTATCGAGACTTAAATGGTTAAGCTAAGGGCTTGTAGGGGGAAATTTACGGTAGCCGATAACAGATCGCTCACTAGAGGTTCAACTGTGCTCTCTCATCCACTCAGCAACAAGATGATTTACCAATGGAGCAGTACACCTCAACTATGCCTCAGCTTCACGGCAGACTCGATCCAGTCTCCTACGGTAGTTACCTTGATGCAGCTATTCCATTCCCTCGCACTTCTGGCGCGAAATTCTGTGCTTGTGGTGAGTGGTGATAGAGCAATTTTCGTATAACTTTGAAAAATTGCTCCGGTAAGTGTTATTTGTTTTATCAGCCGATGGATGAAAAGATCAAAACATGGCCTCTTCGTTTTCCCGCCAAAGAAAACCCTAATATGGAGAAGGCATTGTTCGATTGGCCAATCGTTGTTGCAGTATGACGTCAAAGCGAAAAGCCACGCTCGTTTGAATCCGTTCGATAAACCAATCAAATCGCTCTATTTCCGTTCGTTTGTTGTTTCTGCTTTATTCGCGCGTTTTCATTTCAAGGTCATGCGAAAATCGCTCTGACACAGCATTATAACTCTTTCTCTGTCACCATTGATATGTTAAACTGTTAACCGGTCGTTTCAATACAAAGTCGCACAAGTCGTTTTGGTACGACCTCAGGCACTTAAATTTCACAAAAAATTTCGATCACTTGAAGTATAGTTTGCACGTGAACAAGAAAAGCATTTTGGGTGGATATTTTCGCCCTATAATCCAAGTTCGTGAAACTATTTACAACGAATGAACTTGTATCGAAAGCCGTTAGACTGCTAGCAGTCCCTTTGGATTGTCCAGGGTTCGTACAAAGTCTTGAATTCTTCAAAAAGTCTTGAATTTTGCCCAGCAGTTTTCAAGACCTGGAGAAAGTGTGGAAAATGATATAAAGTCCGCAGAAGTGATAAAAACTCTTGAGTTTCTTTTTTCAAAACTACAACAAGTGCTTTATAAGTGAAGTTTTTTCGTTTTGTTCAAATCTTATTCAATCTCTTGTTTAGGAAAAAAGTCTGGAAAAAGTCTTAAATTTTGGATCCAAAGATCTGTACGAACCCTGATTGTCGTGCGGGTGAGCATGTTAGGTGCTCGCGAACGAGGCGTGCCAGGCGTCGACTTGATGGACTGAAAAGGGACTGCTTACTTGCTGTCTTCTTCTTTGTTGGTGCATGGCAGAAAAAAGAGAGACTTAACTATGGTACTAATAAGCATAAAGCAATACATTCTGAAAATCTTAGAAGTCCGTCATGTTTGTGAATTAGTGTTGTAATTAAAATGCACTCGAATTAAGTAATTTAGCTTTTAAGTTTGTTATTGGCATGCGGCCGGTGTGACTGTCCCAAGTCACGGGCCACTTTCCTAACGAATACGAAGTAGAGCGGACTGGAAACCAAGGAAAAGGTCATGCTGGGATCAAATAATCAGCCAATCACAACATACGCACACAGTGGAATAAACCAATCAGATCGAGGTAAACATATGCAGCTAGCGAAAAGCGCGGGAAATCTGCTTGCCTTATGACGGGCAATAGTTTTACATATGATTGGTTGAGAGTTTCCGCCAATCGCAAAGCACAACAGAGCAAACCCAAGCAATCGCGAAATCCTATTTCAGAATTACTGCAAAACCACTCTTTTTTCGCTTTCTTGCTTTCGAATTTTGATCACTCTTACTCTCTGTGTTAACATATTCCCGACTAAGAGGTAGTGAATGGTCTTTGCATTTGAATACGGCGCTTTTCTTTTTCTGTCGGTATTTGAACATTCAGGATGGAAATTGTCTGTCGAGCAGTGAGCGCTTCGGAGAAAAAAATTGGCGATCAGGGAACACTGTGATTTAGCAACTTGATTCTCGGCTGTGTGTTGTCAAAAGCCTTTCACAAGAATAAGATCACATTGCAAACACGAGCCAATGAGAATTGCACGCTTGATTTTTCAAGCATTCGAGTTTCCAGTCAAGTTTCGTGAATACTACTGAAATATTTCAGAGAAAACTTTGAAACAGTCTCCAGACTGATTCATTTGTTGTCTCGTTTCTTAGGATTACTGGTTTGTTTCAATTTACCTGGAAAATACACTGGTCGAGTAGGGACTGGCGGAGAACCAACGCCAAGGTAGGCTTCGCACTGACCGCGGTCAAGCAAGAAAAATCGAGAAAGTCAGGTTTATCACTTTCAGTGGTCAAAATCCCACGAAATTGAAAGCACTTGTCGTAGACACTTGTTCCGCAAGTTGTATCTATGGTCAAGTACTGATACGGTAAAGTTTCGAAAGTAACAACTCTCGTTACCTACGGATTTAGCAGCCTTCTCCCATCGTTACTTTCCAGTAGCTAAAACGTGTGCCCTATTGTTTGAATAGGAATGTCAAAGATCATTATAATAAGGGAAATGACTTTTGAGGTCGCATCTTTCGTAGGGTCGTTTTTTTCCGGGGGATGGCTACTTTTCACAGCTGTGAATTTTATCGCTTCTTTCGAAGGGTCGCTATTTCGTAGGGTCGTTACTTTTGGAATACACTGCGAGACAAGCCACGCGAACGACTTCGTAAACGCTAAAAGCAACGCAAGAGAGAAACCTCTGCTCGCAGGGTACTCGGATCAGTTTGGTATCGCTTGTTATTTCTATCATTTCCCTTAGTTCTTGCAAGAATAGAAATTACATACTTTTGAGGTGGCTTCTTTTGTAGGGGCTGTTGTTTTGGTGGGGGATGGCTACCTTTCGGGATTTGGTAACACCTGTGAAATTTTATCGCTACTTTTGGGGGGTCTTTACTTTTGGAACTTTACGGTATATTCGCCAGTTTAGAAAGAGAGGAAACTGGGCCGAGTTCACTTTCGCAAAGACTTCTGGGACTGTTACTAGGGACAGGGAGAAAAATTGGCCAATAGCTGACTAGCGCGTCCCCAGTAACCATCTCAGAAACAATAGCTATTGCGGGACGCATTTCGGCTCCATTTCCCTTCTCGTTTCTAAAGTGGTAAATTGTCATAGTGTTTTGGAATTTGTTTGAAGACGGTCTGTTTATTTACTCATTGGGAGCTTTCCATTCAACCAAAATGTCGGCTTTGATTTTTCGACAACTTCCAGTAGCGAATGGAGCAGCATTTTCCAAAATTGCCATTAAGGAGGTCAACGTCGCGAGGTATACCCAAATTTTCGAAAAATTTTTTCCCGGAAGTTTTATTTCCATTCCACTTTGTTCCTGGAATTTCTAGAATTTTCGGTTGAATGGTCGGCATTTCGGAAATTCAACAGTGAAATTCTGGGATATTTTTTTACCATTCGCCGCTGTTTCCAATTTTTTGAAAGTTTTGGTTAAATGGAAAACGCCCATTCAGTTTCTTGGCGTACCCCTTATTGTTATTTGCTGTTGTCGCCAGGTCTCTATCGGCGTTTTCGGCGTACAGTTCTCGCCCCAGTAGCGGACCAGCCCTTCCCCCTCTCATCAACAGCTCCCTTCAGAAATCTCATCACCGACATACATTCAGTTCATTTGGTCAGCAGTCAACTGCAAGGGCCATGTTCTATAGGACACTTAGTCAGGTTTGTGTGTGAAGTATTGTTTTGATTCGTCTCTGTTATCTACAGAGGAAAGAACTTTTTCAGGAATGTAATGTAGAGTTAAGTCCATGTGATGCTAACTGATCTCAGTAACAACAAAAAGGAGACGAAGCGTAATGGAGTGAGCCGTTTATAGAACAATTCCTTTTACTGTATACTTCCTTAAACAGTTGGGAATATTACACGACTTTCTCGGAAATTTCTGTAATTTAGACTGGCTGATGACAGCTGTATTCTTTTTTTTTTTCAGCAAGAGGATTTACAAGAGATGCAAAAGTACGGTGGAGTGCCCTCACGAAAAAGTGATGTTGGTCTTGTTGTGATTCGTGACGTAAGCGCCATGATGCCCATACATCAGTCACTAGGCCAGGCCTACACGTGAGTATTATATACCACAATCTTGATATCAGGATGCTTTATTGCCTAGTCCCTGTACGGCGCTTACTAAGGCTTTCTCAGTCAATTCACTTTGGTGACGTATCCGAGGCGAACAGGCGGGAAACGGCCTCACTTCGTCGCTTGGACCACGTGACCCGAAACGCATTGGCGTGGCAAGGTGCCTTATTGAACATTTTGAGTTTCGGCTGAAGACTGGGTAGGTGTTTTGTCGAATTGCACTATGGGAATGTTTTAGAGACGCCATCGCTTCTTCCATTGGCTATTACAAAGCTGCGCAGGAATCTGGATCAAAATCCGTTCCCCAAAACTGTCACATAGCGCAATTGGACATAACATCGACCCAATCTTAAATGCGACGACCTTAAATAGCCTATGAGACATTTCAACAGAGGATTCTATGAAATGTGCCTTCTAAACTTGTTTTCGGTGCGGGTATTGCTGGGGTTGATTTGGGTGAGAAAGGATGTCTGTTTGTTTTAATTTTATAGTAAGAAACCAGCCACACAACAAGATAAAGCGGTTAAACAGCGTTCACTGGCTTGGCTTTGGGGGCTAGGTTGGGCGATGGCTTAATGTCCCATCCCCGTAAAAAAGTCTGATTATTACTTAAACCACTAGACGAAAGTATCACACAAATAGCTGGGTTTTTTTTAATATCATTAATAATAAACTAATTTTTCCCAAGGCTTGAGGGAAATGACATAAGTGACATTTGCAAGAAGAACCTGTCAGCTGCCATGACAACGGGGCGCAAAGATTTGGTGCAAACATGGTCTCTGATGAGCCTCATTCTCGACAAGAAACTTGCGCCCTCTGATGACTCAATGGACGAGTCGCCCTGGGCACTACATCCCTTTGGAAAGAAGATGGTTACTTCACTGTAAGTAGATCACATTCGTACGTTCTAATTCGCTTCGCTCAAAGCTGGTGGAATTGTTTGTACGCGTGCGATGCACGAGAGAAAAAACCTCTAGTATCCAGGGAATCCCGCTGGCTACGCAGGCTACTCAAAACCACAAAAAAAAAACAAACAAACAAAAACACCACTGGCCATTCATCGCCATCAGAAACCCCGCTAGTATTTTCTTGAGCCGTGTCTCCGAAATTAGGCATCTTCAAAGAGACTGTACACGATACGAAACTGAAATAATAATTTAGAAGCTCGAAAGGGCGGGGTTGCACGCGAGAGCGAGAGAGAAAGAGAACAAACTCTAACAGCATCTTTAATAGGCAAAACCAACCAATCGGAAGCGACTACAAGCGCACCGCGAAACTAAGGTGCAAACTGGAATAAAGAATTCGAGGCTAAAATTCCAGTGGAAAATATATAAAAACGCACCCGCGTTTTTGCTGGATTAAGGAGATTTTCATGTGACTTTCATCAGATAACTGAAACAACTAAAGAATCACACCAATAATATTGAGTTCTAGACTATTGGAGATTGTCTATAAGCACTCGCGAGGAACGAGGGACTAGCCGAAACATGTAAGCATCGTGGGACGATGGTTGACAATTAATCACGTCGCTGCTGCTTGAACATACGGTTATTTGATGGTATTCTTTTAAAAACATAAGAATTAATAAACTAATGATCGATTTTTGAAAAACATTAAAATATTTTGTTCGGGTTATGGGTTGAGTGGGAGGGGGGTGGGGGGGGGGGGGGGGGGGGGGTTAGGGCGACGACGCTAGTGTATTTGTCACGAATCAAGTCCAAATATTTGCAGTAGTCATCCTGGGAAAACAGTTTGATGGCCATAATAAAAACAACTACTGCTTGTACCAGTTGTACTCTAGAGACTCCCTACTTCTTTCTATCAAGACTCTTCTTGGCAAGAAGTATAGAACATCATTGCGTGGGAAGACCCTGAAGGCAGCTGAACTTGATCAATTTTTGACAACTTTTGTTTCAGTCAATAACAAGCTGCTTTATCAGAGACAGACTCCTTTAAGCATTCTCTTCAAACAAACAACATTTTTGGCAAGGGCTAAAATCCTAATATAGCCCTGACTGGACCTATTTTCAACAAAACACGTACTTTGATAAATTCCTGCGGCCAGTATTACATTCTGAAAACGATGCCATTCTGAGACAAACAAATTCTTGGCAGGAACCCAAAGCCAAACACGGAAACAATATTTTTGATCTTGTAGTATGTGGTCATGTTTATCTCATTTCCTCGATTGGACACCGGATCCCGACTAATGAACAATTTTGGTCAGCCCCTCCACCGGTTTTTGTTTTTATTGTTTAATTTCAACTAGAGCGGTAAAGATTCATCGGCACTGGCTCTGTAATCAGTTAACTTGCGTGAGTTTGGTAATATGTCTGAAACGTGGGCGGATATAACTCCTGGAGCACGCAAATATATAGACGTTTGTATGGTGCGGTGGGGGCGTGATCTCGTCCCCGCCTCTTTACCAAACGTCTATTAAGTTTCGTGTTATTGCGGAGCGACATTGTCGTTATTTTTCGACCAATTTCTCTCAGACTTGGCAAGGTTACTGCCTCGTAAGGCGTTACTTTCCAGCGGTGTTCGTGGAGTTTCGCTGCCTGATTCATGTGGAAAGTTGAAACAAAAGCAATTTCTATTCCACATAGTTTACATACAACGGTAATTACACCCTCCGTTCATTAATTACAGGTATAAGAAATCGGAAAAAACCCTTGTTCTAAAGCAACATATATTTTTGGAATGAAAAGCTATAGGTGTAATGAAAAAGAAAACAGAAACTAACTAAATAGCCGAAATAAGTAACTAATTGGATGTGCCAACATAACCATTCTCTACTTTCGAATCCCATATAATACACTCTGTTTGCCCCCGAAACTGTTGTTTTCAAACCTTCCAGGGAGTTCTGCATATTCCCAAAAGTATATGAAAACAATAAGTTATTCAGATGGGGGGGAGGGGGTGGGGGGACAAACAAAGTGTATTATAGGGGATGCGAAAGTAGTCAATTCACATCCTCTAGCGTTGGAAATTGAAAATGATGTCAATTTTTTGAAGAGGTGTTTTTGGTCGCGGGGGCATATTGAATCGCGTTGTAAGGGAGAATTCAGGTCACTGAAGTCGCTAAAGATCACTTGTCTACTCTCTCAAAGACAAGATATGGTCATGATGAGACTTTTTTCCCTTTTAGAAAAGAGCCTAAACATATCTTTTTACCCAGATTTGCCGCGTTGTTTAGCACACTAAAGGCTAAAGGCTTTAGCCTTGAACCCATTACCCCTTTTTAGTCTCCTCTGCTCTGTGAATCTGGCAGTAAAAAACCGCTTTTTATCAAGAGTTTTTTTAAACATTTCTTTGTCTTTTATGTCCTGTGTATGTATCTGTAGGTGTTTTAAGGGGCTGTTACGCCTAGTCTCCGTTGACTATATTCCCCTTAAGATGAACTTAACTTCTTTCGTTCATTCAGTTTCATCTATTCATTAATCCCGAGATTCTCAATATTTTTCTCAGTGTTTTCCGAGGGGATATTCATTAAAGGGTATGTTATTTAGTCCTCGCGAAGAACAACGTCTACAATACAGTTCAATTTTAATACAATAACTCTTAGCGAGCGGTCCAAATTTGGGGCTAACAGTTTACGTTTAGCCTCTGACCTCATATATTTTGCAGTATTACCCTCTCTCAGACTTCTGGCGGGAAACAGTTTTGTTGTTAGATGTCATGTGACGGATTCTTACCTCAATGAACCTAATGAGAGAGCGCATTTGGTATTAACAAAATTATTTATTTATCTCCAGCATGGATTATTACTTAAGCATCCGGGACATACAGACTCTAGGGATGCTCTCATGCGTTTTGGCTCATCACTCACTCCCAGACTCCTTCAAGCCGCCGAAAAGTATCTTCAAGCCGGATATTATTCCCTTGAGCAAGTCCTTTACGTTTGGTTCTTCACCATCATACAGTGACCCACCATCACAGGTAAACAATGTCATAGCCGTTTCTCATTCATAGAGCGGTTTTCAATTTCGGTGAGTGGACTAAAACGTGCCTGAAGCCGAGGAGTTTAGCCAAAACCCCGTTTTAAGCCATTTTCAGTTCGGCGAACGCTTTTATGTAAACACTACTTACCGTGAACAGTTTCATTAAAGTATATAAAGTGGACTAGAAAAGCATTTGCCTTCTTAAAATAATCCACTAAGGAAGAAATCTGAAGGTTCCAAGATTTCCTAAACCTCGGTCTAAGTTAGACTTCGTTTAAATAACCGACCCACTGTTTTTTTCGACGTTCTCGTTGCCGTCGCGTCGTTGAATCATAAGGTCCCTAATTCGACCCTAATGTGTCCTCTGATTGTTTGCTCTCTTATTGTTACTTGCAGTCTTTCAAGCGCCCCAAGTCACTTAGTAACGTCACGGACCATGCCGGACACGAATCCCCGTCAAGTGAATGGAGCGAAGTTACGTTCCCTCCGCTGAGTGGTGGATGGTCCCCACCAGTGTTTATCCGCACAAAGGATCCTCGGGAAGAACAGCGAAAACAATACGAAAAGGACTGTCGGTAAGTAAGACAAGAACGACAACGAGAAAGAGATTTTTTCAATACTAAGTAGTGTGCACTCGTGAACCAGCGTCATTTTGGCGGGAAAACGGTATAGCCGTCGTCATTACGCTACGGGTTTTTATACGGAAAGGAGTTTTCAAATGTCAGAAGCTTTCTCATTTCGCGATCGTCAGGGGGCTTAACCTCCTTCAAAAAAAATAACCGTGTTATCTTTCTGGTGAAGAATGTAAGATGTTGCCTGCGTAGCAGGCACCGGACACGAATCCCCGTCAAGTGAATGGAGCGAAGTTACGTTCCCTCCGCTGAGTGGTGGATGGTCCCCACCAGTGTTTATCCGCACAAAGGATCCTCGGGAAGAACAGCGAAAACAATATGAAAAGGACTGTCGGTAAGTAAGACGAGAAAGACTACGAGAAAGAGATTTTTTCAATACTAAGTAGTGTGCACTCGTGAACCAGCGTCATTTTTGCGGGAAAACGGTATAGCCGTCTCCATTACGTTACGGGTTTTTATAGGGAAAGGAGTTATCAAATGTCCGAAGTTTTATCATTTCGCGATCGTCAGGGGGCTTAACCTCCTTCAAAAAAATAACCGTGTTATCTTTCTGGTGAAGAATGTAAGATGTTAGCCTGCGTGGCAAGCGCTTGGAAGTAGTGGGCGAAAGAGAGAACGGGGGCGCGCGAGGGAGACACGTGAGTGGCGTGTCTCCTTCTCGCGCGCCCTTTTTTTTTGTGCCCACTATTTCCAAGCGCCTGCTACGCAGGCTAGTAAAATGAAACTTTTCGGGGTCTTTGTTTTTTCCGAATACGCGAAAAAAACTTTCAGCCACATCTCGTCCTCGAATCCAAAGGTCTCTAATACCTTTGACAATTAAACCAATTTTTTCGTTTATTTGTGTCTTTACGTCGGTTCTTTTCCAGATTTGTTGATGCTTCGAAGCTTCGATTGCATGATCATTACATAAAGCAGTACGCTGATGTGCTGTACCGCTGGAATCTACTGGGCAAAAGAGCTGAAGTCATCAAGTTCCTTAGTGAGGCGCAACAACCACACAGCGGTGTTGGTGAGTCAGGTCCTTGGTATTATAAATAATAAAAGGTCTCATTTGACCATGAAAACAAGCTTTGTTTTCCTCAAATTCTTTCATAAGTCGCTCGAGTTTTCTAGTTTCGGGCTTAAAGGAGCTGTGTCACGGCAGTCCAGTTCATTTTGTTTAATTTTACCATTTACTCGTCCTCAATCGCTATGGAACTTAAAGTAAGCAAAGAACTTACAGGTAAATGACAAAATCAGAGATCCAAGACAAACAAATATGTCTCCTGAGCATTATTTCTGAAGTTGCAAGCAGCAGGAATCAACTTTGAAAAGCTGTTAGGCTGAACAGTTTTCAAAAACTCTAATTTCAATCCGTTTCAATCTTCGTCAATTTTGCCCATCCGTGGCATCTGTTGTTTCTGTTATGTTATTTTGACCTTCCTTTAAAGTTTTAAGCGGTTATTTTTATGTTCCTCTTTATTTAACGGGCATTTGGTAATTTCCTAATTTGGCTGAATTTCGTGACACAGCACTTTTAAATACTTAACTTGTTGCATAACTAAACCCAACAAACAAAGGCAACATAATTGAGAAAGTGGACCTCGTAAAAGAATGGCAATGGATGGCCCTTGGGAACAAACACACAAACCAAAGCGACTGCGACAAAACTGTTTTTGACGCTCTCTATCACTCACTGATATCAGTGATATCTCTAGAGTCAGACGTTTTGTTGTTTTGTGTTAGAATTCAGCACCAAATGTCACAGTTGTTCACAGAAGCTGCGAGGAGCTCAGTGTTGGTCTTGTAAAGCCATGGGACTACAGTGCGTTATATGTCACGTTGCTGTCAGAGGTAAGAATCATCTTGAAAGTGGCCGGTCAACCGAACCCCCCCTCCCCCTCCTTATTGAAGGCCTCTTTTAGGAAGGCTTCTGGTGGCATTTTGTGCCAAGAAGTCACTTTCTTGTGTTTATCCGAAAAAATTAACCATGTTTACATACGAGAGGCTCAGAGAAAATATTAAATGATGACTATGTGAATTTCACAGGTATTTGAACCGCGGAATAAAGAAATAAATGTAAATAAGGTCATGCAAAAAGATAGCGTGAAAAATTTCAGGCTTTCTAGGATTTCAACCCTGATCTCTGCGATACCGCGCCGGTGCAGCGGCCTAGCCAGTTGAGCTAACAAGCCAACTGGGTGCTGGCTTTCTTTTCGCAACTGCATAAGTTGCGTCTTTAACCGCCAATATTGTTTTTTTTTTTGTTTATTATGTGTTTGATATTTTTCAGGAGCCAGTAACTTCTGTGTCGCATGCGGCCATGGAGGACATACTTATCATCTGAAGACATGGTTCGAATCAATGGACGTGTGCCCCTCTGGGTGCGGCTGTAGGTGCTTAGAAGTTGGCACGTTTATTGTAGACTGACCACAGCCCCACATGTTAGTGTGCCAGAGAACGAAATAAGGAATGAAGAAAAGAGTGGAACAATATTCGTGCCAAGGGAGTACCGTAAACCCCTTGATGATACTGAAAACAATTTGCTGTCATTCCTACTGAGGGCTACAGCCTAAAGCGGACCTAGAAAAGCTGGAACAGTATGGTTTTCTATGCGCCATTTAGAGCGTGTTTGGGCTGACAGATCAGGCGCTATTTAATACCATGGTGCACTGTGAATCGTCGTCAGCTTTGCCCTGACTACTGTGGCTCCAGAGGTCCGTTTATACAGAAAATGAAAACCAGTTGTGACTTTCTCGATCGTCTTCATGACGTACAGTAGTTATCTTGGTACTGTATTTACCACAATCAAGTAAAAGGTCTGCAAAAGCTTTTAATGACAGAAACAGTGGAGTTAAACGGAATTATGATTCTGATGAGTATTGCCATGGAGATTAAGACAAAGAACGTGTCGGTTTGAGTTCAGACAGACATCCTCTAATGATACCTCCGCCGCCACAAGCGAGAGCTGTTATGAACAGCAAGATACATTGCGTACATTTCTATGTCACGGTGACAATTGTTTAACCTAAGCCCGGTTCAAACGTTGTGACATGATAACCTAACATTAACAAAGTTCGACAATAGAGTGACTTTTGGAGAGAGGATTTTTTTTATAAAGCGTATTTGGTCGACCCAATCTGGCAGCTAGATTTGTCTGAACGACAAATGAAATCAGCCTGACAAGTAAAGCAGGTTCTCAGGATCATTTTACTGTTTTTAAATTTTTAAAATTTGGTACAGTCAGGTGTTCTCTGTTAACCTAGTTGAATTGTCCTGGCAGTCGCTAAAAAAATGAGTAGAGAGAACTGATTGACCTTGGCCACATAAGAAAATTGTAAAAATAAACAAGAAATAAATTTAATTTTCATCCATACAACAGGCCTTGATCAACGTCGCGTGCTATTTCCACACTATATTGGCTCGTTGACCTGCTGTCGGTGGCGCGAGACTGGGGAGAGGGAGGGGTCTTCAACAGCTAGTGCGCATGATCTTTTGCTTTTTTAAAAACACAATGCTCCCAGCCCCACCGGTGTCTGCGTAGAGCATTACATGAATGGGTCCCTAGCGGCTGTGAAGGAGACTATATCCTTATTTGAACTATTTAGGATTGTGCGACCCAAACAGGTTTCATGTTGCAGGGTTGTGAACATATGTATTGAATTTAATTTAAAATGAGTTCTTACGTTTCATTTCGTTTTAGGAGATTGGAATGTTTTTGGTCTAGGTCTGATAGTGAGTAGGAGAAATCACTTCTTGGGTTTGAAACTAGCTTAAGGGTTTTAAGAAGCTGAATATAAAACGCGAAGCCTCTTTTAAAATGTTAGGCAGAAAGACTAGGATCTGTGCATAGTGCATTGTGCAATCATGGTTCCTATCCTTATATCAGTGTCTTACCCTTCGACCGAATCAAGTGATTCAAAACGGATAGGCCGCATACGATTGGCTCGAAAAGCGATTTGGTTGATTTTAAGGTTGATTGGCACATGCTTCCTCCGTGCCTGCTCCCCTGGTCCCACTCGTCCCAGTGAGAAATTTCCGGAAGTGTTGGAACGTCTTAAAGGGTAGTCCTGTTTTCACGGAGGGAATCGGTTCCAAACGGAAAGTCCTGTTCCATTTCTTCAAACCCACAACAACAACGATAAGCTTTATTTGCATGACCGTTAACTTTACAGTATTTCAGAAGCGTATACCGGATAAACCAAGACAGCGATTAAAACTACATCGATAACAATTTATTCCAAAGATTAAAACAAAAAGGAACCCTATTAATTAAATGCCGAGTAAAAGAAAAAACGGAGGAGAAGGTAAAAGACGAGATGGCTATGTCAATTTTGTCTTCTGCACGTGCTTGTACTTTATAGCTACGTAATTCAACATCAGGGACGATTTAAAGTTTTTAATAGCGTAGTGCTCGATTTATAAGCAACTTTTTGGGCAGCTTTGATTCTTCTTTGCCTGATAGTTTGCAGAAACTGCTCTCGTGTATCTTCAAACCGCGCATTTCATCAAAATTTCCCGGGGCGAATGGGGTAAACCCTGGGAAAAAGCAGACACGGGAATTAAACAAACCCCCGCCATGACTAATTCCCCGGAAAACGTTACGTCAAATTTAATTCAGCCGGATAATTTCGAAACATCATCTTTTTTTACACGGGCTGCGAGGACTAACAGGATTTATTTTTACATAAGCTCGGATTCCTTTATTCTTCTCGGGGGGAATATATTACATAACCTCCGAATCAACTTGTCTGAAAAGCTGGGTGCGGCTTTGATTGTTTGAAGGGAAGAGCGGGGCTAATGAACAGCTAATTAAAATGCGAGGGGATTATGTCTTAATATGTTAGGGGGATAAGTGACTTATCCCCCTTGCATATTAATACATAATCCCCTCGCAGTTTAATTAGCTTGTCATAAAAAAAAACAATTTACAAATGTTTATTTTAAATATTAAACACGACACTATAATTTCTAAAATTAAACTGAGCTGCGTTTCATTTGCGCCACATTCACGGATTTTCCTAGTTGTTGGTTCATCGCCTTCCACAGCCAGAACGACAGTCTGAAATTGAACAGCGTCTTTAAAATTCTACGGTTCCACGAAAGTGTCACTGTCATGGTAAGGTGTTCCGTTCTTTAACCAGTCATCCCAAACTCGTGTACTCCATGAAGACATGTAGTTGACCTCTGTGTGTTTTGTGGTATTCTCGCTTCATTCCTCGACTGAATTTCCTTGTCAGTTACAGTGACAGTTACAGTAGTGAACCCTCGCCCGGAATCTTCTTTATCTGTAAACATGCAGGTCGGTCGAAAGATCCTTGGTGCGAAAATTGAAAATGTCAACTGCTTGCTCGTTGTCTGCACCCGCAAATGAAGAGTCAACATTGTTTTCTGAAAGCTCAATTGCAGTACCGCTATTAAAGCTGCTTTAGTTTGAGTAATATACCAATATACGGCTCTACTTCTGATAGATCTGAATCGCTCGAAACTGCTAGGCTCTTTAGGCTGTTTCTAGCATTCACTACGAACAACTAACTCGAAATGCAACTTTGAGAAACTAACATAATTAAAAAGCTGAGAAACTTGTGAATCCCACCAGTGCCAGCATGGAGTGTTAAAAAACAAAAGAAAGATCAACAATGGAGACATTTTTCAGGGGCACCCAACGAGAATATAGTTCAAAACCACTTAAAGATGCCATTGTTGAACGTATTTTAGTATTTAAACGGTAGATAAAGGCATATTTTTATCCCCTAAAAATTTTTCATCTGTTCGGATTTCCTAGCTGAAAGTCTAATGATCCGAAAATTTTAGGGATCAAAACTTACCTTTTCGAAAATTCCAGCCAGAAAAAAGGCTCCCGAAAATTCTAGGTGACCTTTTTAGGGTAAAAATCCGTTAAAAATAGGCAATTATACCATTATCAGATTTAGATGTTCGAAAATCCTAGGAGAGGCAGGCGAGCAAGAAATTTTACAACAAATGTTCCGAAAATTGTAGATCTCAAATCGTCTTCCGAACAGATATTTTCCGAAAATTGTCGTTGGGTGCCCCTGATTTTTCGTCAATGTATTTTTGCATCCCTTGAGGAATCCTCGCCAATGTAAAAATAAGCCGTTTATCGGCCTTCAGCTCGTGGTTATGTGATTTATTGAATAAATCACATAACCCCTCGCTTCAGGCCGATAACCCTTACAAAAGAATATACGGCAACAAATTTTTCTGGCGTAATGAGCAACTCGGCCAAACATTTGAAAGCAGGAATATACAGGGAACGAAAAACTGGAATTCATCACGAACCTCAGACGATAATTTTCACACTACACACTAGCTTTAACGCGAAACTATAGCCAGGAAGTTCTCTTGGTTCCATTTTCAAATTGGTTTATTTTCCTTCTATTTTAACAGAATATTAAAGAAATAAAACAGGCCAGGATTAAATATCTTTTCACTAGATCAGAGCGCCATTGGTTTTAATACCTAATACTACTTATCCGTCGGATTGTGATTTGTTCGGTAGATTGCACTATCCAACGTTTGAACAACCGGGGCCAGGACTTAAGTATCGTCAAATTAAACATCTCTAACGTTCACTGAGCTGCCATTATATTCCGCAGACTATGTCAGCAATGGAAATACTTAAAAGTTGCTCATTTATACACTACTTGATCAAAAACCTCTCTCTTTCTCAACTCGTTTGATGTCAAAATAGTTTGAAATTTACGCGGTGTACAATTTATCCTATCCAGTGTAACTGTCACCATGACATGCTGTCATCTGGAGGTTTTTACCCGCGGCTTTAAAAAGGAAAGCCTTATTACAGCGCACTGCAGTTGACAATAAAATGTCTACATTAACGAAGTTGAATTTCCATGAGAATCTGTTTACAGTTAACTCTTTCTAAGACGGACGCCTTTGGGACCGGTACTAAGTGTCCATCTTAGAGAGATGGTCGTCTTATAAAGAGTCAAATAAAAGGAGTAAAGAAAGGCAGGGACAAACTCTAGGTGTCCGTTTTACAGAGGTGTCTGTCTCATAGAGGTGTCTGTTAAGAGAGAGTCGACTGTATTTGGCAAAAACTAGTGTCCATTGTCCGCACTAACAGGGTGTCCGTATTAAGCAGGTTGAATTTAGGGAAAAAGGACTTTCCCCAGAGACAAAGAAAACTGTCCATAATAATGAGGTGTCGGTATCAAGTGGGTGTCCGTAAAACGGGGATCGACTGTACTTACCGCATTTCCTCGAATAATAGCTGGGGGGGATTATTTCTTTTTTCGCACAAAAAATGGGGGCCATTATTCGAGGGACGAGGCCATTATTAAAGGGAGGCGGTTATTTCAAATATTGCTCACTGAAAATCGTGCCCTAAATATTTTGTTTTATTTTCCCATTAAATAAAAAATTATCACATCAAATAAACTGAACATGGGCTTTTTAAGTGTTACAAATTTAGTTCCTTGATTAATTTTCATAGCTTGAATAATCACTGATCAGTTTTGCTTGATCACAATGCACTTCAACTGGACAGGGAGGGGATAAAAGAAAGGGAAGATGGCGAGAGGAGCGGGGGGAGGCGATTGATTTTAAATATTTCCGTCAAAGGGGGGCGGTTATTCGAGGGAAGCGATTAATCGAGGGACTTCTATTATTCGAGGAAATACGGTAACTTTAAAACAGTTCAAGCAGTAGAGTAAAGATGCTTGGACTCTCTTTATCAGAATCCCTGGATACACCTCTGTTTTAATACCCTCCTTTTTCTCTTCTTCCACAGTCATAGTGAATCTTATAAATGCATCCTCGGTCGCGTTACTCCGGTTACTAACTCGGGTGTTAAAACTAACGCTGTTCCGTGCCCAAAGACGCCTACAGCTCGCTCAGGTGAATATCAAATCAAACTACTGGCCAACAATTTTCAACTATACTATGCGCTCTTTGATCGATTGGAGGCTAAAAGAACAAACAAGGAGCTGAAACTTCCAAATTGAACTCGTAAGACGCGGACATGCGCGCATGTTCTGCACGAAGTTACGCTCCTGCGGTTCTGATTGGTCAATCGTTTTATTTTTGTCAATTTTGTTTATCGCGTTCGTCGCGTTGAGGACAAGCGAGATAATTGACTGACACCAACTGATCTTGTTTTCGTCATTTCTGGCTATAAGAGTTGTTTTCCTGAAATTTTAGTTCACTCAGCAAAAGGAAAACAGAAATATTATGCAGAAGGGTTGGCGGAAATTTAGGTATGTTCCATAACTAACTTTATTATTTGGTCTCAAATTTTACCGCAAATTCTGTTTTTGTTAGAATTCTATTAAGAAAAACACAGTAAACAATCTGGTGAAACAACACCCTG